CAAAAGTCACAGGGTATCTAAATGGAGAAGAAAACAAGACCCATACATAGTACGCTGCCTGCAAGAGACCAAATTCAGATAGATAGACACACACAGATGGAAAGTAAAGGGATGGAAAATGATATTTCATGCCAATAACCCTGATAAACATAGATGCAAAAATCCTCAACAAAATATGAGCAAACTGAATTCAGCAATACATTAAAAAGATCATATGCTATGATGAAGTGGGATGAAATTAGATTATGTTGTTTAAATTTTTCCCATTCTTTCACTCCCATCCCCAGGACCAAAACAACTGACACTTATTTATTTTAGAATATTATTTAGGACAAAGGTATGGAAAAAACCCAGATATGGAATTGCCACATGCTGCTCAATTGGGTCTGTCTTTGGTATCTTAGAGGTATTGCATATACTGTGTGAGCCCTCTCTTTCTAAAAGAGTTCACTTAGTGGGACAGTGTTGGGATTTATAGCCTATTTTCTTGAAGTTAAAAATATGTCAAGTTAGACATTACAGGATGAAAGGCTTTTGGTAGGGAGAGCATTTGTATCCAGAGTGTTACTATAGAGCATATACTGTTCATTTTATCAAAGGGAAAGGAGAGATCATGCCAAGAAAAACACATAGAGTGGAACGAGGTGGAGAATAAAGTGTGAAAAGTCCCTAAAATCAGATGCATGTAGGATGGATCTTCATGATTAGCTTCAATTTTTTTTTAAAGTAGCATTGCTTGTTTCTTTCTGTCTTAGTTCTTTTCTTTTTTAAAAAAAGATTTTCTTTTTTTACTCTGTCCTGGACTCTAGTTTCAAAAGCAGGTTAGGAAGTTTATTATGAGCCCTAGAGCCAAAGGCATTATGGAAATTTATTAGCCCCCAAAAGTCAATATCCAATTACTGTACCTTTTTGACTGTTCCACATAATTAATCTGCTGCTTGATTCAAGGGAAGCCCAGCACTGTTGGAAGCTGTAGTTCCTTCCTTAACCCTTCATGTTGTACTTGCAAGGTTGAAGAGCCCATTTACCTGGATCTCAGAGGGGTTGGCATTTTCAAAGAAAAAATTTCCTTCTACTTCCTCTTAACAACCAATGTAAATGGTATTGCATAATTCTCTTCAGAGAGAGCTTGCTTGCTTTGAATTTGACTCAAAGGGAAATACACAGGCTATTGTTTTCTTTTTTTAATATCCTATCAAAGTAATACTGTTACATTTGGGGTAAACTCTGCTCTGTTTTCTTAATCTCTTAGAATTATGTCTTTTATGCAGATAGTAATTGGGTTTTTTAAAGCTAATATGTGTAATTTATTTACTTAAAATCAGGCCACCTTGTAAGCCATGCATAATTTTCCTCAACATTTTGTTGGAAGGTTAAGTGCAATAATTAATTGGCTACAGTTAGCTATAGGAGAGCTTTAAGAAAAGGTTTAAATAAGCTTGCTGCCTACTGGCATATCAAAGAAAAAAAGTCCTGCAAAAACAATTTGTTCTCTGGATGTCCTTGTCTATCAGGAAGATCCCTTTGTGCACCTAGTAGCTCCCATAAATGTTAATGTGGCACTGCGCAGGGAGAGAAGGGCATCTCATTTCAGTGCAGGTTGCTGGGGAAGCCTGTCCCTAGGTGTGCGTGGGAGGGCCGCTGAGCACTCTGCCTCTCTGGCTAAAATATATTGCAGAGCAGCTTTGCCTTTTCATTGGGCTCCGGTGTGGGGAATCCCTTCCTCCTACCCAGTGAATGTGGGGGAATTCCTAAATGCTGATGCATTTTTAGCTCTAAAATGATAATGCCCTTAGAGTGAGGACCAGAAAGCATATAGGGAATGTTTTTAAAATACAAATCAGCCAATTCCTAGTATGTCTTTTACTTGCTTGATAGAGCTGTGCAAGCATAATCTTGCTGTTGTCAAGGGAGTTGGGATTCCACATAGTCCAGGGATTGCTCTGCATTTTCCCAGGCTCCTCCTGCTCTACTTGTTTAGCATGCAGATGCCGTTTCATGCTCCAGCAGGAGAACCTCCTCAGTTTCCACATATATCACGCAGTCAGCGAGGCAAATGGTAGTGGTGGCTGCTCCTGACAAACCTGGCAGCGCTTCTGCCAGCAGTTCTCTAATAACCTTGGTGTCTCCGCAGTAAGGTTAGTTGTGTATTTACTGAAATAGCGTCTTTCTTTTTCTCTTCTCTCTCTGCCTCCATCTGTACCTCCACCTCCCTCCTGCCACCCACTACACTTAGGTTTATAAATTTGTCTATGGTATGCAGGAACTAGACATGCATTATTAAAATACATTTTAGAGCTTTTAAAAGTGTGCATAATAGAAATATATCCAAGAGTTTAAAAACATTCTCTGATTGTCATGGTTAGTGCAGATTAAAGAAACAGAATATACAATAGCCAAATATTTTCTAGGAAGTCATCCTTGTTGAGTAGGCATTTGTCTGACAGATTGAAGTGAGCTTCTTTTGTGTGTTGGCATATAGACCAGAATTGCAGTTTTGTTCACTTTTTAGTATTCATGTAAAATTCTCCTATTGACTCATTTCATGGAAATAAGGGCTCACTTTATCCCTGACCCTTATTTGTAGTAAGACTCGACAGGGCAGCAATTTTCACCTTGGTATAATTTGTAAGGAAAACATTATCATGTATGTGTAGCCATTTAATTTAGTGTTAGTTATCTAATAATAGAAATGGATGAGGAGAGAATACTTTTGGAAAGGAGATTTTTCTAGAAATCAAAGAGTGTACCTCAGCAAATCTTAATTAATAGGTGTTTATTGAATATACACTCTGGAAATGTATTGATCACTTTACAAATTCTGAAGAAAAATAATACATCCTTGTCTACAAGGTGTTTCTTTCCAATTAGAGGAGATGAACGCTGTCCATGGTGCAGTGAGTAAGACTTTATAAAATAATGTACTAAGCTATGCAGTAAAAGTTCAAGAATAGAATGAATGATACATAATGGACTGATTTGCCATTGAGATCATTTCATTAGATATGAGGTTGATGTTCAGAGATGTCACCCAGTTTAGTTAATGTTCTGGATAACTGTGGAGTTATGGCTAATTTTAAAAAATATACATATCCTATCTTTGAACACATTGACATTGAGTGAACAGCCACTGCTTTTGCTGCCTAAAAAGATGAGCCACACATGGTAGACAGAGAGGAGTTTTTAGAACTAGAAACATCCAATTTCAAATCCTAATTGTGCTGATTCTATTAGCTTAATAATGTAATATAAAAGGATTTTAATATTAAGCTAAAACATAATTCGTAAGACATATCTGCTGCCCTGAACTCTTTAAAATGACAGATCCTTCTGGACCCAGCTGAGGTCACCCCTTCAAGAAGCTCTCTCTGGTCACTCTGCCCACAATAATCTTGAGACATTGAAAATTCAATTTCTCTTGGTTATTTAAATTGCCTTGTGTTTACTTCTTATTTAGCATTAAGTATTGTTATAAACCAATGTATATTTTTTTTATGATTGTACCATGTTTGCTAATTAGATTATTAGCTATTAGCCCACATGAACCTTGTTTTATACTTTATCTTCTTCAGTGTTGCTCTGTACATAATAGGCACAGAGATTATACTTTTTATTTGAGGAAAGTGGTAACAGTTGTCAGGAAACAAGGACAGATTCTATTCTGTATTCCAGTTTGTGGAGGGAGTTCTGGCCTATTTATTTAATAGGTATCCAGCCTTTACCCACACAAGTAATTGTTGACTTACAGTGTATGACTCTAGCTGGTTAAATAGCACAGTGGCTGCTTTCCAGGGTAGCACTGAAATGATGGGATTATGGTGGAAACCTACTATATATGAAATAGGCTCTATGAATGGCTACATATACAAACTAGTGATGAGTAAAATTTATTTAGTATATTTTATTTGGAAACTTTATACCACATCCATATTGCTAAGGGATGGGTAAAGAAAATGTCTTAAAATCATTTTATATTTTTCACTGTCACATAGTAACGCATCATGAGTAATTGACTCATGACATAGTGCTAGCTTGTTAGTTTATAACATCCCCTATTTTAAAAGATATTGGGCAGTGGACCAGGTAGTTTATTTGGAATAAAAATAACATTTACTAAGTAAGGACTAAAGAGAGTAAAGTTTGGGTTTGTCTGAATCCCTTCTTCTGACAACAATCTAGGATGGAGTGTGATATCTTAGAGCCAGTTTGGCTATTTTCTTGAATCTCGTCTTGTTATC